ATAGATAGATAGATAGATAGATAGATAGATAGATAGATAGATAGATAGATAGATAGATAGATAGATGGATAGATGGATTGTATGCATAAGTCAGATCAGCATTAGCAGCTGAAACAGTAACACTTCCCTGCCAGAGAAAAGACCGGGGTGTTGGCTCTTGTCCTTTCCATTCAGGCCAGTGTTAAACACACAAACTAGCATGCTAATGGGTAATCCCTAAGGACCAGCCACCTTTGTCCCAGCCCTAAGAGTATGTCTCTCTCTGGGTACTGGGTGACAGCCACCAGCCTGCCTGCTTTGGACAACCAGCATGCTGCCAGACACTCATCTCAGCCCTCCAGAGGGATGCCAGCAGGTTGCCAGGTCTAGATCGGTATGTGATTGGTGGAAGATTGACGTCTGTCTTGATTTTCCTTTGTTCCTGTCGTGTCTTTGGTGCACCAGAAGGAAGTTAGCAATCCTTCCTTTCCTTCTTGATGAGGAGAAAGTGAAAGTGTGACGTAGAGGCATATTGTGATGCAGCAGGTGGTCTGTATGGCTCAACAAAAGCTCCAGTTAATCTGATGGACTACTGTAGGAATACTTTTACTGTTGGACATAAAGCTCCCTTCAGTGACCTTAACAACAATCTTTCAGACTGGGGTACCTCAAACAAAAATTAAAACAAATGGTTGGATTTAAAGATAAAAGGGCACCAAATGATAATTGTGTTGGAGCGACATTTCATTCATTTTGGCAACAAACCTATAAGATAGCAGCATGTTATTAGTTTGAATAGTATCAGGATGTTGAGGAAGACTTTTTAAATGCAAATTGCTCAAAGGAGTCCTGGTGGTATAAGAACTTCAGCTGTATCTGTATGGATTAGGACATTCCACGTTGCAAGGTGGACAGTGGGAGAGGGAAGTGTCACTTGAAAAAGGCTCTCATTGATTGCTTAGAGGACATTCCGCAGTGCAAGGTGCAGTTAGAGGGCCAGCAGAGGGGTTAATCCCTTAGGAATACTCTTTGATATTATTCCTATGATCCAGTGAAAGAAGCAAGATCTTTCTGTGAATAGCAGAAGGCACATGAGCACAGGCCAAAGTGAAGCTGCAGAATTGATGACAACTTCATGTACCATGTGTGTGGTATTTTATGTTGTTGGTCAAAGGATAGTCATATGATGATTATTTTAAACAATTTATCCAGCCCTGGTCCTATACTGTCTCTGATGAAATATTGTGGCTTCATCCTAACTCTGCACCCTCATCTGTCTTTTTACCCCCAGAGAGCTGAGCTCCACATACTGCAGCACCCACTACCTAAACACACATATTCTCATTACAAATGCAGTAACACAAGTCTGTACTCACACTTTTTTTTAATCCAACAAAATATAATCGGTTTAAGAATTAAGACTTTCAACTGTCCAATTAGCCTATTTTGATGCTGACGTCTAGCTTTCAATGCAGATTTTTTTTTTTAAATATCTCTGACAATGATACTACTTTCTGTTGCCACTCCCTTTTTGCAGCAATTCCTGAATTTGCATCCCCATACATACATACATTCACAGATCTTGGCATGCCTTTATTACACTCCACATTTTGTTAAATGAAACACGCGCAGCACAGAAGGCCTACAAACCCAGCTTGAGGCCGCCGCACGCCTTCCACGTTCCCTTCATATAGGGAGCACGACACTGGGCCCCTCCATCCCCATCTACCCTGCGTACCCCCCTCAGTTCGTACGGCCCCCACCAGTCCCATCCATCATATCTGCCCCCCCAACTTCTATCATGCTCCCACAAAAGCAGCCAATCCTAAGAAAAGAAAAGGCAAAAAGGAGTAGAAGAATACAGCCGCTACCATGCAGAACAGTGCTGGCCAAAGGACCGCCTTTTGTCCTGCGATGTGCCTGTTTTCGCCTGGTCTCTCCTGCAAACACACCCTTTCTCCGCACAGACAACAGCCCAGAGGCTTGGGGGATGGAACCTGGGTGTGGTGCTATCTAAAGCAGTATAGTTTAGGCCCCCTAGATGGCCCCTTGGTCACCAGCAGATCTTGTGTGTTGAGCTGTCAAAGGGGGCCACCCTGTCCCTCCCCTCGGGTCCATGGGCACACCCTCCAGGGGACATTAAGGGCCCCGAACCCCTCACTCGGGGGCCTTCAATCTGAGGCTCACCATGCTCTGCTAACCTGACTACTGATGCTCTGTGAAGCGGTACCATAAAACTCAGGTGTGAGGGGGTACCAAGAACACGTATGCAGGGGACTTTTAAAAGAGATCAATAGAGGTAGAGGATTAGCATCCGTTAACATTGAATTTGCCTTTGAATTTTTGTGTGCCATGAGAGCACTCAACTGTGATACTGCT